TGTTAACTGGCTTTTCTCCCTTTTGACCAGGTACCTGCACATGTTGTTCTTTGTCACTGATGTCCAGTGTGTGCCAGGCTGATCCATGGTCACTTTCCGGGATGGCAGCAAGGTGACTTCGGCTGAGGATGACCCTGACTGAAAGGCTGCGTGAGAAGACATCTCGGGTCTTCTACAACCATGGGCTCCTCTGTGCATCCTATCCCATCCCCATCATCCTCTTCACAGGGCTCTGCATCTTAGCCTGCTGGTATGTTTTTGGGTTGCCTTGGATATGGTGGGCCAGCGTCTTAGGACAGGAGGTTTTCCAACCCAAACCACTGTGGAGCCCTTGGCCTCTGTATACTTTTTACACAATGGGGGCTTGGGCTCCTTGTAACTGCCAGTGGAGAACTCTAGTGCTGGCGTGGTTAGCTAATATAATAAAATTGTCCAGATTCACCAGATTTATTCATATCACTGGTACTCTATCTCAAAATAATGTTTAGACACTTCTAAGACACTGAGGTAATTGAAGGACATGATATTTCAATTTTCTTTCTCAATAGTAGTGATTTCCTTTTAGTACCTGGTTAAGTGCAAGAGCCTTCTTCATGTGTTGCAAGGCAAAGTCCATTCGAACAGTACCTTGGACAACCTGTGGCATGCTAACCTCAAAGACTTGCTTCTTTGCTCTCTAGTCATTTTCTTGTGTTCACTTGGAGCCTGCTTCAGACCTCTTGCTGATTTTGGGGGCCAGCTGCACTTGCCAAGGACAGTTGTGAGAGCTGTAGCTGCCGTTGTTCCTGTCTGTCTTTCTCAAGGCCTCATAGAAGCCTGAAGACTGCGGCTGACAATGACGTAATAAAGGAGGAGTTTGATATAAGAGGATATCTTATGACCCTTTTGGCTCTAAAACACTGGCAGCTATGAAGAGCCCATCTTATTCTTTTCTCTGGAAAGAATTCTGTTTTTCAAACTCATTGTCTACCTAATGAGTTTGAAATGTTTGTAGATGTTTTCGGTGCTAGCTGAAGGGAGGATGAGTCAGGAGGGAACTCCTTGTTCAATTCAGTTGCTAATGATTTCAAGTTCTTCCCTGATTATCAGTAAGAAAGATGAACATTGACCAGATACAGTGCTCATACCTGTAATTCCAACACTGGGAGGCCCAGACAGGAGAATCACTTGAGGCCAGGAGTTCAAGACCAGCCTGGGCAACATAGTAAGACCCACTCTGTCTGTACAAAAAAAAAGAAAGAAAGATGAACATCACTGAGTGTTTCTTGCTGGGTGCTGTGTTGATGCTTCAGGTATAACATTAGGAAGTGGTCCAGTTATATTTCCATTTAACAAAGGGGGATAGGGACTTAGAGATTTATGTGGTCCACACAACTAATAATTAGGGAAATGGGTTCAAATCCAGGTCTGAGGGACTCGTAGCTGCACCTGTGGCACTTTGTCACTTGGTCTCACTCTGGCTTAGTATGTTTGTGTTGGTGTTTAAGCTGCTAAATTGTGTTGTACAAGATAAAGTACTTAAAGCTGTGTCCCATAAGTGATGAATTTGGAGTGCTCTGAGAACTCAGCTCTTGTTTGTTTGTTTGCTTTTCTGTAAGTTAATTGACCTCTTTCTCTTTTTAAAAAAAAGTTTTGAGACATCGTCTCACTCTGTCACCCAGGCTGGGATGTAGTGGCACAGTCACAGCTCACCACAGCCTGAACCTCCTAGGCTCAAGCGATCCTCCCACCTCAGCCTCCTGGGAAGCCGCGACCACAGGCGTGTGCTACCACACCTGGCTAATGTTTTTCATTCTCTGCAGAGATGGGGGGGTCTCATTATGTTGTCCTACTTCAGTTTCACTTTCTGATGATACTGGGGTTTTCTCTTATTTTTGTAGTCACCCTGTTTTTCTTTTAAGAGGTAAGGCGCTTGTATTATCACATTCTTTTTTTACTTCTTTGAGACAGGGTCCGCTTCTCACTGCACACTGCAGCCGCAACTTCCTGGGCTCAAGTGATTCTCCTGCCTTAGCCCTCTGAGTAGCTGGGACTATAGGCATGCACCACTAATGTTTTGTATTTTCAGTAGAGCTGGGGTTTTGCCGTATTGCCCAGGCTGGTCTCAAACTTCTGAGTTGCAGTGATCCACTTACCTCGGCTTCCCAAAGTGTTGGGATTACAGGTGTGAGCCACTGTGCCCAGCCTTGTACTGTTACCGTCTTAGTGCTGTGTACTTATTTTCCCAAATCAGTATCTTTGTCATGTAATCTTAAAGCTTTTTTTTTTTTCTTTAAACCTGATTGACTTGATAAAATTTTTACAAGGCTGGGTGAAGTCTCTCAGCCTCCAAAGATAATAAAGGTTGTATAAGAGAATCCATAGATTCTGGGACTTGGCCAGAAAACCAGAGAACATGGACCCAGGGACGCAAGCCTCACCATCATCTTCAACCCCAGGAAGCTTTTCTGTCCAGAGCAACAGAGCAGTGCCCCCTTCTGCCAGAGCCTGGGATTACCTACAGAAAATAAAGTGTGGGGCCAGGCACTGCAGATCACAAGGTCAGGAGCTCAAGACCAACCTGGCCAACATGGTGAAACCCCGTCTCTACTAAAAATACAAAAATTAGCCAGGCGTGGTGGCGCACATCTGTAGTCCCAGCTACTCGAGAGGCTGAGGCAGAAGAATTGCTTGAACCTAGAGGCAGAGGTTGCAGTGAGCCAAGGTTTTACCACTTCACCCCAGCCAGAGTGACAGAGGGGGACTCCGTCTAAAAAAAAAAAAAAAAAAAAAAAAGGAAAAAGAAAATAAAATATGGTTATAGACTGCTTACGGTAGTTTTGCCAGATGTTCAGTTTCCATTTAATTGCTTACCTTTGTTGTTCCTGGGATGAAAGACTTGTATAGCCAAACCCAAAGGATGGCTACACTTAATTTCTCTATTCAGATCTAACAGCCACCTGAGCTGCAGAAATACTTTTTGCACACCTCTGGTTCACCACGACTGGGTCACCCCAGGGAAAGTACAGAACACTACTAGAGGGGGTGGTGATCAATGACAGCTTAGGACAGACACAGCCTGTCTCCATGAGGTGGTAGAATACAGGGAGTGAGAGAGGGCGTCTGTATACGAGGAGTCAGACTCGCCTCAAACAGCACTGAGGCTGTGCGACTTTCCTCTCTGAGCTGCTGTTGAGGCTGCAGGTTTCAGTGATCGAGAGCCAAGGACACTAATTTAAATGAACTCAGTGCTGAGCCTTGTAGGTGAGCTAGAGTTAGCTGTTCTTCTTGCCTGCCCCCTGGGTGCAGTGACTATTCTTTCCTCTGGGAAAATCTGATGAAACATGTATCAAATAGGCACTATAGCAAGAGGTGTCTGTTTATAACTCTTGGAGGTTAGACCACCGGGGCTGGGATATGTCCCAGCAGCAGCCCAGCAAGACAGAGGGTACTGTTACACTGGACCTGCCCTGGTAAGCGGTGGGTGCACCATGGGATAAAAAAAGAGCACCCAGTGACATCTAATTTTGGGGAAAAAAGAAAAGAAAAAAAAAGAGCACCCAGATGACATGTTAGCTGGACTGCCTGCATGCAGGTCAGAGAGTGATGTGAGTCATTGAGTCACTTGATTGCACAAGCTGCTGCTCATTGTGAGAGAAGGTGGATTTCAATTCAGAAAGGAAATTGGAATCACATTATGTTGTTTCTGTTTTTGAGACAGCGTCTCACTCTGTCACCTAGGCTGAAGTGCAGCGGTGTGATCTTGGCTCATCTCAGCTTCTGCCTCCCAGGTTCAAGTGATTCTCTTGTCTCAGCCTCTAGAGCAGCGGGGATTACAGGTGTGAGCCACCACACCCAGCTATTTTTTGTATTTTTGGTAGAGATGGGATTTCACCATATTGGCCAGGCTGGTCCCAAACTCCTGACCTCAAGTGGTCCGCCCACCTTGGCCTCCCACAGTGCTGGGATTACATGTTTGAGCCACGGTGCTCAGCCTAGTCATGCATTTCTGACTTAGGATATTTTCAGTTTATGACAGCTTTATCAAGACATAACCCCATTGTAGGTCAAGGTGTATCTGTACATGTCAAGTGCTTAGAATAGTGCCTGGCACATTTTAAACATCATGTAAGAGTTTTTCATTGTTGTTATTCACTATCTTCCTAGGTTTCTACCTCTGGAATGCACAAGCAGTCTCCAAAACATGTATAATCTAAACGTAGAACAAAAACTGACCATACTCTGTGATTGCTATGCAAACACTATAGCTGCAACCTAAATTCGTTTTTTCTTTTTTTTTTTTGGAGACAGGATCTGAGTCTGTCACCCATGCTGGAGTGAAGTGGCACAATCTCAGCTCACTGCAACCTCTGCCTCCCGGGTTCAAGCGATTGTCCTTCCTCAGCCTCCCCAGTGGCTGGGATTATAGGTGCCCGCCACCACGCCTGCCTAATCTTGTATTTTTAGTAGAGACGGGGTTTCACCATGTTGGCCGGGCTGGT